TGACAGTTAAAATCTAATTCTCTGATAATTATCAGAGATAATTATATTAACCTTCGAGATCTATTATAATAGATCTCGAAGGTTCAATGCCAATAATGCTAGGAGACCGCCACTGGAAACTATTCTTAGCTATCTTAATCCTAACAAATCAGTTCATTAAGATTCATTATCCTCTTTTAATCAACCTCTCGGTTTACTTTTCACGGATTTTTGAACTCCGAAATATCCCTGGAATTCGCAGTATTGTATGTCTGCAATTCGCTACTACATTAAATTCACGATAACTTTATCTCAACCCAAATTTTTGTTCACAAGGACAAGTTTCCAAATGGCTTTCTGCTTAACTTTTTCCGCGTTATGCTTTAATGTTCTCTTTTCCTTTAGTTCGTTTCGCTTGAGGTGACTACAGTTCACGAAATTCTGGAAACAGCCTATATCTGTCCGATGTACATCAAAATAAATTGTTATTTCTCGGATTTGGGTTCAGATGTTTAGAATTAAGGGCATTCGATTTAGTTATTATATTTTAGAGTCGCGCATTTCGGACAAGGAGGAGATTTAAATTCAAGAAGAATATTACATTGAATTGTCTCTAAGCAGATGTAATATGATGCTTGGAACATCTTGGATATATTTCGGAAGGGCTCTGTTTCCGCATGGCTCGATTTTGACGTTAATGGGTAATCCATTGGCTCATAGCGAGGTGTCTTTCGGACAAAGCAAAGGCCAGAATTATTTTGCAACCATGTGTCGAATTCGGCTGAGCTCGAACTACACAATTTTGGCTCAGCTGACCAATGGGATTTCGAGTATTTAAACACATGACAAAACTGCTCCGTTTAAATAGGCCAGTCACAAAATGGGGAGTAATAAGTTGCATGTACTTCTACACTTCAAATATTGAAAAGGGACGCTGCTGTCTCACTAAGCTTTGTAAGTGGATTTGCATTTAGTTTTTCGGCCAAGTGGACATAAATATTAGAAGCACCGTAAATTTGAAATGTTCTTATATTTTCTAAATTACGTAAGTAACAAAGAAAACGGAATTTATATAGATTTTAGCTTACGTCCTTGCATATACATTGCAATTTTACACCTTGCCAAACATTAAATTTAAATATCTCTTTTGAACAGACCAATTTTAATTAATCATTGATGAACAGTATTAAAATCTTCATTATTTCGTGAGTGACTCATCATCTGTTGTAATTTTGCGGAACCGCTTCCCCGTCAAACAACACGTTCGAGATAAAAGTCGAATGCCTACTACACTGATCTCTCCAATCGACTGAAATATTAATTAGGGGCAGTGGACAATCGTCCAGTTTCAAACTGTGTGATTAATTTTACTGGCCCCAGCTCTTTAATTAACCTATCACTGTCGTAATTAATTCAACCAAA